AAAAAAAAAAAAAAAGTCTGGGAAACAGAGAGGGATCACAGAAAGCATTTAATGTATATAAATATGCATAAAATAAATTTGCAGTCCTCTGGGCCTTCAGATATATAAATAAAACAATGTGTTAAATCTTAAGAAAATTATATCAGCTGTCATTATTCTTCTAAGATTAGGGAAAGGCTGGAGTGCATACTCCAAGAATATCATGGTTCCTGAGGGAAGAGTTTCTTCTGTATGTCCTCATTCACCAGCAGTAAAAACAGTCAAATGTAATAAGCTCATAAAAAACCCTGAAAAGCTGCCTCAAGCCTTAAAATCTGATATGAAAATAAAGAACCAGGCAAAACAGATAAAAGACACCATCATATTTTAAAGTCAATTCCAGTTATTTCTATAAAAGGGCTTGTTGGCATTATTTTCAGAGATCTCACAAACAATTTAAAAAAGAGGTGTGTAGGGGGGAGCCGAATGGACAGAACTGAAGATAGGAAAGAATAAGAGAAAAATGTGCCAAAACAAATGACAAATCTTTATTCTTAGTGGTTTTTACAAGTATTCTACCCAATCTGGACGAAGTCGGAGAAAAATACACAGATAGATGCTAATTTGTGTGGCCCAGAAAACACAGCTTTCATTGGTCATCTTTATACATTTTATCTAAGTATCTTTCCTACATTTAGCATAATTAGTAATCTATTCCCTACATTAAATAAACCAAATATGTGAAAATAAGCATTTATCAAAATAAAACATAAAGTTACCTTATGAAAGTAAGTTACTTCATAAAATTCCATCTGAAGACCTAAAGTAGCAAGTACCTTCTATCTGAATTTAAACCAGGATTTGACTCAACTTTTCAGGATGGTGTATGTTAAAAGGGCACATCTGTACTTCAGGTTTCTTCAGAAGATGTCAAGTGACTGAGGGCACACCAACTTTTGTGTGCTAACAGTAACAGGAGAAATAAGTGGTTTACACTTGTAAAATGCTGCTTTTAAAGCACTTATTTTTTAATTTTTTTTTTTTAAAGTAGGCTCCACACCCAACATGGGGCTTGAACTCACAATCCTAAGCCAGCCAGGCACCCTTAAAACACTTTTATATACATTGCCTGATTACCTCATTGTTAGTACACCCAAAGTGGACAAATTTGACAGAATTAGATGAGTTTCAAATAATCATCAGACTGAGAAACTATATACAACACCCAAGAGAAATTTAAAAAAACTTAAAGAGCAAAAGGGTGTTATTGGCAACTGTTACACTAATAATAAAAGAGGGGGCCAACCTTCTCTTTTAACTCCCCAATATAAGCAGTGGTTTGTCCAATGATGGCCTCCGCAGACTCCTGGAAACAGGTGACCCACTGATTCTCTTGAAAATCAGCAATATTTGCCTAAAAAACACATTACATATTAATTTAGCAAAGAAATAATAAAAGGAAGACACACTCAGGAGACTAGAAGATTAACTTTTTCCATTCATTAAAATAATTCCCAGGGGGAAAAAACCCCATTACTACCACATATGCTATATTCTTTCCAAAGAGTGTGAAAAATATCAAAGAAAGAATTTAAAATGTAAGTCTGGATCACAGCAGGAACACGATATGCTGTGGGTATGTGATTTCAGATCTCAGTGGAGATAACAACCCAACTAAACTCTCCTTCAGACATGGAATCCAGGCACCCTGGACTTAGTTCCTTCCCCTCCAGCCGCAATGGCCTCTGGACTAAAGGTTCTGAATGAGCCTCCAATGAGTGAGGGCAGGTTCTCTGCATTTCAAGCTGTACATCCTTCAGTCACTAGTTCTATAAGGCAATTCTCAGTCACTGCTGAGCACCCCAGACTATTTAAAAGCCTGAGTCAGGGGCCTTCCTCCAGTGGCCAAACTTACCTAGCAAAAGAAAGGAGCTTGGATCAACTGTCTCCAATTGGACCACGATGTAAAATTAAATAGGGGAGAGTCAAGGAAGAAAGTGGATCACAAAGAATCCATTTGCTGAAGTAAAAGTCTTAGTAGAAATAAGAAAGCACAGTTTTTTTTTTAAGGTGTCATTTGATGAGTCTACATTTTCACTTGGCATATACATAGAGCTTTAATATCAAAGTTATGATGGAAAAGTAAGGGGACAAGAAAAGTTACAAACACTCACATACACAAGAGAATGTGTCTCATCCCAGTTCACACCTATAGTCTGCTTACCGTGTGCCAATATCCTAGAGGCAGAGCAGCCTCAACAGGGTTGAGAATGGCACAATGAAGGGAACACGCTGGGTCCGCACCTTGTGAAACCAGGGCCCTGGGGTTCCACTATCTACAAGCCTCACAGAAAGGCTGATCAGCCATCTAGACAACCTTCTCCATTCTGGTTTGATGGAGTTTATGGTTTACAGGAATATAAAGCTTAAATGTAGAACTTTCCTGCTGAACTAACATTTTGAGGGGCAATTAGAATATAGAAAGGACAAGTAAAATCTTTTTTTTTTTTTATCTGAAAAGATTAAAAAAAATTTTTTTCTATCACAAGAGTTTTCACTGCAGGGGGAAAAAAAAAAGGAAAATGCAGAAGAAACTAGAAATCAACCAGAAATAACCTCTATCAACAGTATGGTATTTGCCCGCTCAAGTCTGTTTTCTGTGTGTGTACATACCTCAAGACTATATCAAACATATGATTTAAAATTTGCCATTTTCAATTAATAACCTGAACATTTATTCATGTCATCTTCAAATACTTTAACTGTGGAAAACTGTCAAACAAATGGCAAATTCTGATGCCTGCGTGGTATTCCACTCCACAGATAAAATAACGGAATTAACCACTATAATATTAAGGAAGTTAAGTTGTATTGAACTTTTCAACATAACAGAGTAACAGATAACTTTACACAACTGTAACAACTCTGATGATTTCTTGGAAGAAATTCTCTCCAAGTGTTTAATGTGCCAGAAAACATCCTGATATGTTACTGCCAAATCACCTTCTAGAAAAATAGGAGGATGCCTATTTTTCTTATACCTTTATTATCATTCAGTATTATCATTTTTTTAAAGCACACCCTTCACTTTAAAGGTTTTAAAACCGAAAGAAACAATTCTTACAATGCAAAAAAGCCACACTCCCACATCAGCACACAGTCACATTCCCGAGAAGTCAGCTCTACCGAGGGCTAAGAGGAATAGATTATCTACAAGAAAAATAACTAAATACACGCATTGGCTGTATAATTACTGCTCTCCAGAAATGCCATTTCAAATTAATTTATCTTCATAACAGTTAGCAGGAGAGTGTCACCAATGCTGTAACTGTACTACATGCACAGCAACTGAAATCAGCTGGGCATCTAAATGCAACTCTCTGGTATGAAAAAAAGCTTTTAGTAGGAGAAAACAGACTGCTATTCAGTTGAGCGAAAGGCCCCTTACTTTTGTTCTTGTAGAATAAGAAGCTCTTTAGCACTTACTCGTCTGCAGGCTTCCTACCACAAGAGATCTTGTTTTGGCCCTCGTCTCTACTGTGGCGGGCGGGCACGTGGTAGGGACTCGCGAAACACTAGTGTTTTTTTACTTACTGACAGGATCATGCGGTACTTGAAGCTGGGAAATTCACTATCACACTTCTCACAGCGGTACAATCCATTCTGTTGATCAATCACTTTCTTAAAGCAGTCCTGAGCTGGGCAGGCTTGATACATACAGTTCTCTTTGCGAAGAAACACAACTGTCGCCACACAGCTAAAATAGTCGGCCTTGAGGAGAAAAGAGTGACATGAGAGACCTGGAACACAGGGCCTACGTTCAAGAGGGACTCAGGGGCAGCCCAAGCTTGCCCTGACATATAAGTGGTAAGTGTTCACATATATGAATCCTTAAGATCACAATGTGATTACAGGGAACGATTCATGCTATAGTTTCTGAAGTCACTTGTGCGGACTGCAAAACCTACAAAGGTAATAAACTAAGCTTTAAAGCAGATTATTCCTAGGGTGACTAGGCTCAGTCCGACTTCGGCTTGCGTCAAAATCTCCAGGTTTGTGAGTTTGAGCCCCGCCCGCAATCAGTCTCTGTGCTGACAGTTCAGAGCCTGGGCCTGCTTTGGATTCTGTGTCTCCCTCTCTCTCTGCCCTCCCCAGCTCACGCTCTCTCTCTCAAAATTAGACATTAAAATAATAATAATAATAATAATAATAATAATAATAATAATAATAATAAAGCACATTATTCCTTAACGAGAAAAGTGAATCCTAAAGTAGACTAAATTAATTAAAAACAGAAAAAGACTATATGAAAAATAAAGATGTCAGGAGACACAGATTTGTTTCTCCCATTCCTCTGACCCTCCAAAGGTTAACATCTAGGAAATACAGCGCAAGGCAGGAAAATCTAGTGCAGCGACGTTCAACCATCCTCCCACATTAAGAACAATAGTAGTGGTTTCTGGGGCCTGGAGTCACCTTCATCTTTGTCTAGGTCACAGTGGCAAACGTTTTCTGTAGAAAGCCAGACGGGAAATACTTTAGGCTTTACGAGCCTTTTGGTCAGAGTCCCTGTTGCAGCTACTCAACTCTGCTGCTGTGGCACAGAAGCATCCACAGACAATATGCAAATGAGCGCATGCGGCTGTGTGTCAACCCCTGGTCTAAGCCATCCGGGTGGAGAAATCACTGATAAGTAAATGTAGCAAAGGACTAAGTCATGTGCTTGGACTTTATGTTGTTGTTATTGGTTTTGCTTTTTAACTCTCACAGAAAGGATACAGGGTAAATAATTTTGAGGGGTGAGCAGTTCCCTCTGGGTGTACTCTGAATTCGGAGCCAGGTCAGCAATCTCTGGGGCTTCCCAATGTCTTAGAACAAAGAAGGCAAAGCCCAATAATATGGATATTTAAAGAGATTTGTTGAGCCCTCTATCTAGAAGGCTCTAGAGAAAATAAGTCTCCTAGGAGAATGCCTATAGAATTTTCTGTATTTTTAGATAAGGTCCAGATTCAATTCATGACTTTATTTATTTATTTTTTTAATTTTTTTTTTTTTT